AAATTATTTTACCATGATGGTTTTTTAAGGCTAAGCCAAACTCTTTCCTATCATGGTTAGTCTTCAAAATTTTACAAAAGATCATTTTTTTACTATGGTAGATTTTCTTTTTAATCATCTTTCTTCATTTTCAATCACATTAGTTAATTTAATGATTCTATAATTAAGTTATTTGATATAATGAGGAGCATGTTACAAGGTCTATGCATGCTCATCAACCACGTCACATCTTACTCTATTGACATAAACAGTGTCAATGGGCTTCAAGACTAGAAGGGCAAATGAACTTGATGTGCGAAGGTGGAAGGTACCAATTTCAACAAATAAAATTGGAAGCGCCTAATTAAAAATTGATGCAAATCATAAGACAGCTATACTTTCTTTCTTTGTTTTTTTTTTAATTGATTGTCATGACTTCAGAGTCAATGCCTTCTCACACGAACAGCTAAAAATCTTGAATATTTTTTATGAGAGAAAATTATAAATAAATTTAAATTAAATGAATTATTTATCAATAAGTCCTGAAAATTTATAAAAACATTTTCAACTGTCTTGAAATTTGGTTTAATAATGTTTACCTACGGAGCCTATTCTTTATGTTTTAAAAAAATATTTTTTTACCCGTAAAATAATAGGAATACTATTTTGTATAAAAATAATGGAAATACTTTTGACCCACCTCCTTTAACCACTGTTGGTCACTGTTTTTATATTTTTATTAAAATATTAATATTGATGTTTTATTATTTACAAATAAAATTTAATCAAGTTATAAGTTAATCATTATGTGGTTATGATATGAAACTAAAATTTTATCAATTTATAAGTAAACTTCTCCAATTTATAAACCAACAACTTTTTAAATTATTAATATTTTAATATTTACTGGTAAAACTTTATGAAAAAATTGGTGAAAAAGGCCTTGTTAGAAAGAAAATTGGTCCCAAGGATCAAATGCAATTTAAAGACTAAGACTAATATTTTATTTATTAAACGATATGAACAAATAGCCGAAATACCCCTCTATTTAAACCAATGAAATTAAAAAAAAAACAAAGGCTCCTTGTTCAACACATGCACCCCAAGTTAGAAGCTTTGCACCCAGACTAAAAATCTTGCACTCCCAGCCAGTAACCTTACACCCAAGATAATTAAAATTACTAATTTTTATTACCATGGATGTAAGGCTTCTAGCTTGAAGAGCAAGAAATAGGGTGCAAAGCTTTTGGTTGGGAGTGTAAAGCTTCTGACTTGGGGTGCATGTATTGAACAAAGAGCCTTTGTTTTTTTTTTTTTCAATTTCATAGGCTTAAATAAGGGTATTTTAGTCATTTATTTATATTATTTAATGAATAAAATACGAATCTTGGTCTTTGAATTGCATTTGGTTCTTAACTCCAATTTTCTTTCAAACAATATCCTTTCCACTAATTTTTCCAAACTTCATTGATTTACAAGTGGAACTTGCCAACTTATAAGAAAGCCTTTCATTTTTACAAATCCACTTGTAAAATCAACCAAATTTTAATTATAAATCGTGAATTGTTATTTGTAAATTGACAAAATGTCACTTATAATTATTAAAACATCAATTTTTTAATAAAAATATTTTAAAAAAATTTCATTAGCCATTCAATGTTGGCTATTGACCTTCTAGGCAAGGAATTTAAAAAAATAAAGAAAGAAAAGAAAAATGCATGCAACTTGAATTTGCTTTTAAAAACTTGACATTTATTTAAAAATTTAGGATACTGAAATGAAGTTAAAAAAAAAAAGTAGGCTAAAATATATGAAATTTCTATGAATTTTAAAACAGTTGCATATAACTCCCTCACCTTTAAAAGTTTAAAATTAACCCCCTAATCTTTAATTTTATTTTTCAAAACCTCCTATTGTTAATTATGTTAATTTTTTATGAGGATTAAAATGAAATTCAATTAAAAAATATTATTAAAAAAAATATTATATTGTATAATTATTTATAATAAATTTCTTATACTTTTCGGATAGTTGAGACATCGATAATAAAAAAATGTTATTATCACTTTATAAAATTTTAAATATTTATGTTCACATTAATTTTATCCATTTTTTTGTTATCAACTGCACATGATTTTATTGTTTTAAAGAATAAGTTTTTATTTATATTTTTATGTTGGATTAATGTAATGCACATGGCTAAAATATTTAAAATTTTGAATATTACCATGTTAGATTAATTTATTTTTTAACACTAGAAAAATATGCACCATTGATAACAAAAAAATATAAAAAACTAACACAAAAGTAAATATTTAAAATTTTATATGCTGATAATAACATTTATTTTGGCTATTATTAACGCTACAACTATCCAAAAAATATAAAAAATTTATTATACATAGTTATACAATATAATATTTTTGTTTAATAATATTTTCTAATTGAATGACATTTTAACCCTCATAAAAAATAATATAATTAACAATAAGGGATTTTGCAAAATAAAATTAAAGTTTGGAGGGTTTAATTGTAAACTTTTAAAGGTAAAAGGGGTTATATATAACTGAATCAAAGTTCATGAGAGTTTTATGTATTTTAGTCAAAAAAGTAAAATATTTAATGATTATTTTATTTATTTTTAGTAACCATGTAAAATTCATATATCCAATAGTTGAAAATGCGTTTGTCACTCAGTGAAATTTAATTGAGGCAAAATTATAGTTTCAAATTAATTTGAAAGAATTATTATAAAGTCTCATAAAAATTATATGATTACTCTAAAATCCTATGAAATACACAAATAATCTTAAAGTTGCTAGATCCTTTATTGTAAATAACTTTCATTACTACAAAATCCACATGGCCTTCGACAAGGCCTCCCCTTATCACCCGTAACCCTGCATCATCTTTAGATTTAGCTTCGGTCACCACTATGCTCATTAGGGATATTTATGGGACGAGACGGGACGAGATCAAAATACCCTTGTCTTGTGTCCCATCCTAAAAAAAGATCGGAATTGAATTTTTATCCTATGTCCTATCTAGTCTCAAAAGTTGTCCTATCCTATTAGGAATCAGGATAGGACCAGGACAAGATTGAGACATCCTATCGTCTTGATAAATTGGACAATATTGAAAAATGATCTGGATAATAACATCAATTAAAAATTTAAATTATATAATTTATTAAGTTTAAAATTAAAATAACATAAGTACATGAATCATAACAATTTAATTTAAAGTCAATTAGTGAATTACATTAATCACAACTACACATTATAATAACAATTACAAGTGATCTTTAGGCTATAAGAGTAGCAACAATAGGCTAGTCAAAAACAACATTAAATCATTATTCTTTTACTTTAGTTGAAATGTGCTAAGCTAATTGCTCTTCCCAAAATAAAATAAGAAATATAATATAAAAAAGTTATTAAATAGATAGATAAAAGAATAAATTATATTAATATAATTAATATATTTAATATATATTTTTAAAATAAAAAATAATATATATATATATATAATATTTGGGACGGGATGTCTCAATGATAATCTCCTGTCCCGTCCCGTCCCGCACCTCTTTCCTGTCCTATCCCGCAAAGTTCCATCTTAATTGTTTTTAGGCCGGGATGAGACCCATCTCGATATGATCAAAACGATATTAAGCCAATCAGGATGGGTACAAGTTGAACATCTTTAATGCTCATCAATCAAACTGCGTCGTTTCACAGCAATTTTAATTTTTCTTTTTATTTTTTAAAAAAATTTAAAATGTTAAAATTTGATTTGAATAGTTTAAATATAAAATTTGACTTACACAATTTAGATCTATACTGAAAAATTAGAAATGCAATTAAAAATGTTTTATAAAATATTTTTATCTTAATTTTACTCGATTGTTTATAATTGTCCATCTATTAAAAGCAATATTGTTTGAGAACAGTTAAGTATTAAATGTAGGCATTTTTTTCAGTGGGATTTGAACATTGTTTATTACATCGTGAAAACCTAACTTATTTTATTAAACTTAACCCCTGTCCTAAACTGTTTAGGTCATTTTTTTCTTATTTTTTGAGGTTGGGTTGGGCAAGATAAGCCTTGACCCTTACCCAAGGCTAAGCTCCATAAGTCCAAATGGTTGGATAGGGTCAAGGTTTGGGGCTACATGCACAGCCAAGGTGCCATGCATCCTTTACTTTCTTAGTGGATATATCCGTACCAGCTTTGATTGCAGAATGCTTATATTTCTATGACAAGGTAGAATCTCCTAGCTAGGATTGAAATGTTACAGGGATTGTACTTCTCTAAACTTGAGCAGCTCTCAGCTCCAATAGGTTAACTAAGATATAAAGCACATGATGTTTAAATCAAAGTCTTTCTAATCAGTTGCCGATCAATGTAAATTTAGCAAGATTTAGTGCTACAATTCCAACAACAAGAACCTTGTTTTTTTGCCATGAAACAAAATACAAATGGATTCCAAATATATGATTCTAATTGTCTAAAACGAGATAATGCTAATGAGGTAACACCAGCAATAACGTTGATAGGATAATGCCAGCCACTGCATTATAGTGTTATGACATTAACGTTCATCCATTTCACAAGCATTAATCCCTTTTAATTCATTTCAATTGTAACCCCTTCTTATCCTAGTAGTATAAATAGGAAGCTTCCCTCTATGTATGGACGAACAACATGATTAGAGGATAAACATAAGAGTTTTTCTTTTGGTTCTAAGCCATTTTGATATCAAAGCTGGTCTAAAGAGGAAAGAGTAAGGTAGAGTTGAGGAACTATGTTGGAAAGGAAAGAAGCTCAGAAAAGGAGTCCCTAACTTAGTTGAAGCTTGCATTCCAAGCTTTTTTTCTAGAAACTGACATCACCATCTTGCTCAAGAGGTCCAAAAATATGGAACAGAAGGTTCTCCATAGCCAAAAATTATGCCACACACTTTCACGTGCCTCCACCTGAAGTCCAAGCTCTATCGTCGTCAATCAACGTGCTACATGCACCTGTTGGATATTGAAGATGATTACATCATCCATCGCGTCATCATTCTGACTGGTCAACAACAGCTCATCCCAATCAGGTTCTGACATGTGTCAACATAGCCACGTCAACCCTACCCAGTTAGCCATATTTTTTGAATTTATAGTTTAACCCCAAACCTTTCCTTATTTCGACCCTTAAAATATCTTAAATTCTATTTTAGACCCTTACTTCTCTAAAATTCCATTTTGACTACAAATCTTTTCAAAAATTACACTTTTACCCCATTAACTTACCTAAATTCCATTTTAACCTCCACATTTTTTGAAATTACACTTTGACCCTTATACTTTTTGGAATTTCCATATTTACCCTTATACTTTTTAAAATCTCCATTCTGCCCCTATACTTTCCAAAATTCTCGTCTACCCCTATATCCTTTCAATATTTTCATTTTGTTGCTAAATTTTTCTAATATTCTCACCTACCCTTAAATTCACAGATATTCCCATTTGCCCTGATTTCCCCTAAAAATGCCTCCAAGACACAGGAGTATGCATGAAGTTGAGATGAAAGAGATGAGACGTAGGATACGAGAGTTGGAAGCTATTATGGAAACACAACAAACTCTGTTAAGAAATAATAAAGAAAACCTAGAAGGAGATTTGGGGAGCAGCAGTTTATCATCCACTAATAACCATTACCGTTCATGACAATAACAATTTCATTCTAATGACATCAAGGTAGACATTCCTGAATTTGAAGGAAGACTCTAGCCAGATGAGTTCGTAGACTGGCTTCAAACTGTTGAAAGAGTATTTGAATATAAGGAGATTTTAGATGCATAAAAAGTCAAGATTGTCACCCTCAAACTCAAGAAATATACATGAGGGAAGTGAGAGAAAATGAGACGCTAGCTCACTAGGAAATTTCTATTAGATCATTATCACTAAGATAACTTTTTCTAGCTGTAAAATCTTTAATAGAGGTCTTTATCTGTAGAAGAATATGCTGGAGAATTTGAACAACTCATGATGAATTATGACATCTAGGAAAAAGAGGAGCAAACAATAGCCCGGTACCTTGCAGGCTTAAACACAAATATCAACTGTCTAGTCCAGCTTCAGCAGTATTGGACCTTGGATGATGTAATTCGTCTAGCCATACATGTTGAGAAGTAAATGCCCAAGAGATCTTCTTTCTAGTCTTCTTCCTTTAAGGGTTATCCAGAATCCTGTAAGGAAAAATTTTAGCAAACTAACTCCATAAGCAAGTCACAATCTAGCACTATGTGCAAACCATCATCAAATGCTGCCAAGGAATCTAGCTCTTAGCAATCAAATACTTTAAATGTTAAGGATTTGGCCACATTATTGCGTATTGTCCTACCCAGAGGGTTGTCACCATTAGGGTATGACAAAAGCATGAAGCACCTGAAGAAGATGAGAAGGAGACTGAGTTTTATGGCACTAATTCTGTATATGACAAGGAGGTCATGCTTGCTGATCAGGGAGAAGCATTGGTGCTTAGACAAAGTCTGCATACAACTGTAGTCAAAGAAGAACCTTAGCTACAACGCAACATTTTTCATACTCGCTACACTGCCTAAGGAAAAGTTTATAATGTCATCATTGATAGTGGAAGCTGTGAAAACGCAGTATCTGACAACATGATAGAGAAATTGAAGTTGCCAACAAAAGATTATCTGTATCCGTACAAGCTTCACTGGCTCAACAAGGGGAATAAGGTAAAAGTTTCTAAACAATGCCCTGTGTCCTTTTCTATTAGGAACTGATATTGATGAAATTTTATGTGATGTTATTCCCATAGATGCATGCCACCTTTTATTAGGGAGGCCATGGCAATATGATTGACATGCTATGCACAATGAGCGTGCAAACACCTATTCTTTTACAAAAGATGGTGTCAAGTTCAAACTAGTACCTCTACCACCTAACAAGATTAGCCAATCTTGAGGGAATCTAGCCCTTTTAAGCCACTAGTATCTTTGATGACTAACGAGGAATTTAAGGTGATGAAGTTTGAAGCCTAAATGATGAGCTTTATCCTGGTGCTTGAGGTGAATAATGAGTCTACCAATCCACTAGGAGTCGTTCTGTTATTCTCTAAATTTTTAGATGTGATATCTAATAAGATACCACCAGGGTTTCCTCCCATGCGAGACATACAGCATGCCATAGACTTCGTTCTGAGAACAGTTATTCCTAATAAGCCTGCCTATAAGATGAGTTTCCAAGAACATGTCGAAATCCAATAAATAGTTGAAGAGTTGTTAAAGAAAGGGTTGGTTTGAGAAAGTGTTAGCCCTTATGCTGTACTTGTTCTTTTAGTACCTAAGAAAGATGGGAGTTGGAGAATATGCATTGACTGTCGAGCTATCAACAAGATCATGATTAAGTATCAATTTCTTATACCTTGACTCAATGATATGCTAGACCAGTTGCATAATGCCACTACCTTTTTAAAAATTGACCTTTATGGTGGATGCCACCAAATTAGAATTCAGTCAGGACAAAGTGAAAGACCACTTTTAAGACATAAGATAGCTTGTATGAGTGGAATGTGATGCCTTTTGGGTTAACAAATGCTCCTAACACATTTACACACCTGATGAATCAGGCATTGTGATCCTTTATTGGCAAATTTATTGTTGTATACTTTGATGATATTCTTATTTATAAGAGTTAAGAAGAACACTTAAATCACTTGTGGCAAGTTTTGCAAGCCTTCAGAGAATAGAAGCTTTATGCTAATTTTAAGAAGTGCAACTTCCTCACTAGTAACGTTGTGTTCTTGAGATACATCATTACTGTAGAGGGTGTTCGAGTTGATTCAAGCAAAGTTGTAGCCATTAATAGTTGGCCAATTCCAAAATCTATTTAGGAGGTTTAAAGCTTTCATAGATTAGCTTCTTTTTACAGGAGGTTCATCCGTAATTTTAGCTTTATTGCTGCACCACTTATAGATTTCACAAAAGGAGAGAAATTTCAATGGATAGAGTAAGCTTAGAAAAGCCTTGAGGAGCTGAAGAAGAAGTTGACCGAAGCTCTAGTCCTAGCTCTTCCTAATTTTGACCAAGTATTTGATGTTAGCTGTGATGCTTCTAACACCGACATTGATGCTTTCTTAAGCTAGAAGGGCCATCCGATTGCCTTTTTCAATGAGAACCTCAACGATGCCAAGCTTAGGTATTATATCTATGATAAAGAATTTTATGTCATTACCCAAACTCTCCAACATTGGAGTCACTATCTCCTAAACAAAAAGTCTATACTCTTTTCTAATCATGAGGCACTTAAGTATTTGAAAAATTCTTAGCTGAAGATCAGCCGTAGACATGCTCGTAAGAGTGAACTCTTACTGTCTTATTTATTCCTTATTAAGCATATGCTGCTCACAACAATGTAGACTAAAGTTTTTGGGTTTGAACTTGTCAAAGAGTTATATTAGGATGATCCTAATTTTTAATGAGTATGGGAAGCAACTGCAAATCAACCTTTCCACTAGTTCTATAAATATGACGAATTTCTATTTCAAGGCAAAGCCCTATGCATTCCACAAGGTTCATTGAGAGAAGTCATAATTTGGAAAGCACATGAGGGTGGATTAGCTGGACATTTTGGTCAAGATAAAATAATTGATCTAGTGAAGGAGAACTTTTACTAGCCTCGACTTTAATGAGATGTCAATAGACATATACAGAGATATAAAATTTGCTACTTGGCCAAGTCTAAAGGTCAAAATATTGGGTTATACATGTCTTTGCCAATTCCAGAAGCACCTTAGGAAGATGTGAGCATGAATTTTGTTCTAAGCTTACCATAAACTTAGAGGTAAAAAGATTATATCATAGTAGTTGTGGATCATTTTTCAAAAATGGCCTATTTCATTCCATGCCAAAAGACCAATGTTGCTGTTCAAGTAGCATATTTTTACTTTAAAGAGATTGTTCGTCTTCATGGCATTTCCAAGACTATCACTTCTGATCGTGATGTGAAGTTTCTTAGCCACTTTTGATAGACGCTATGAAAGAAGATGGAAACTAAGATCCAATTTAGCAATGCTAGTCATCCCCATATAGATGGTCAAACTAAAGTTGTAAATAGGACTTTTCGTAATCTTCTTCGCTTATGGGGAAGAATTTGAAGCAGTGAGATCTTATTCTTGCTTCAGTTGAATTTGCTTACAATAACTCTATCAACCAAGTAACTGGGAAGTGTCCGTTTGAAATTATTTATGACACTCATCCCTTTAGCCGGGTAGACTTGATCCCTTCACTTGATAAGCAGCAATATAACTCTGATACTGGCCAAAAGGCTAACGATATTAAGAAATTGCATGAGCAAGTTGGCAAGTGAATCCAAAAGAAAAATTTGAGATATAACGCTCAACGTGACAAGCATCAGAGACAATACAATTTTAAAGTAGGAAACTTGGTATGGATACATCTGTGAAAGGAACGATTTCCTAAATAATCGAATGCCAATCCATAAGAGCTAATGATCCATTCAAGATTGTGCAAAAGATCAACAACAATGCTTATAAGGTAAAATTTCCTGGCTCTTATGGAGTGTCTACCACCTTCAATATTGTTGATCTATCCCCTTACATTAATGATGATGCCAAATTTGACTCGAAGGTGAGTTTCATTCAACCTAGAGAGGATAAAACGGAATAACATTGATAAGGTAACACCAGCAATAACGTCAATGAGATAACGCCAATCATCGCATTACAATGTTATGCTGTTAACGTTTATCTATTTCCCAAGCATTAATCCCTTTTAATTCATTTTAGTTATCCCTTTTAATTCATTTCAGTTGTAACCCCTTCTTATCCCAGTAGTATAAATAGGAATCTTCCCTCTGTATATGGACGAACAACTGGATTATAGAATAAACACGAGCATTTTTCTTTTGGTTATGAGCCATTATCTATCCTTCCATATATTCTAATAAAAAACTATTAGATTACTAAATTCAGGAACAAGAAATTAATGCACCAACATCTGGATTATATCATATGATTATACAGCCTATTGTACTGTGCAAGAAGAAACAAAATATAAGGCTCATTGTGAACAAGAGATGATAGAAGCATCACAAAACACTCGATTGAATAGTTTTTTCTATACAAATCTGTTAATCTCTATACCCCGGGGTAGAGATAAGAAGACCATTAGGGGCTACGGCCTAACTTTTTATTTTGTTTTTTACTAAATGTAAGAATTATATATTTTTGGCATCATAAGTTTACATATCATAGAAGCCTTGAGATACTAGATAGAATTCTCATTTCAATTTTATAGTAGTTTTATACGCATGTATAGTCCAATTGTTTTCATAGTTTGAAGATAAAATTATCATAAGGTCTATTTATTTTCAACAAGAAAATGCTACATTTGCTCTTAAAGCACTTATGTCATTTGATTTTGCTTTTATTGTATATTTACTAAAAGAAATTATAAGAATTATTACTAACAAACTTTGTTAAGCATTGTAACAAAAATCTCAATACATATAGAATGTTATATGCTTGATATTTATCATAAAATTACATATTCAAAAGTTAAGAGGTTATAGTTAAGACTAGAAAAAATTATTTTTTCTATAATAACCAAGCTATTAAAAAAATTAATGGTTTTTTCTATGATATACTTAGATCTCATCAACCTAAAGAATTTGTGACAATTGAACATGATTACCCTGTTGATGTATTTATTTATTATAATTATCAATTAAAAGAATTAAATAGTAAATAAGTAATAGAGTTTTTTAGATTAAACAGATTCTAGATCTCAATAATACATTTAAATCATTCAATGCTCATGGAGAAGATAAAATCTTCTCTAATTTAATGATAGTTTATATTGAAAAAGAAATGACTAAAAAATTTTATTGTAGACATAATAATTAATTGTTCTTATACCATAAAAAATTGATGAGCAAAACTTAAAGAATGAACGTATATATTTATTTTTGTTATATATTTTTAAAATTAAATATGAATATATATGCTGAAATATTTATACTTCCTCCGTTAAAAAACGTAATACATTTTTAACCGAATTTTATCCGTAATAAAGCAGTTACTTATCTTCAAACAAACTATATTTTTTCACATTTACCTTTATTTAATAAAGTGCTTTACCTTACAATAAATATAAATTTATTTATTAAATAGGGGCATTTTTTTTAAAAAAAAAGACAATGATTATACCTTAAAAGATTAAAAATACTTTACATTTTTTAATATTTAACCCCTCAAAAAATCGCTTATATTTTTAAACAGAGGAAGTATTATGTTATTAATATATATAGATTTAATTTTTCTTTGATTATCACATATTTTGTCATCTCGTCCTCTCAATAAAATTTTCTGGCTCCACCCCTATTTATATACCCCATAAAATATTTGAATCTAGTCAAGAATACTAGTTCAAGAAAAAAAACTAATAACTAAACAGAAATATAATCGTTGAATGATTTATTCAAGTGTACCTAACACTATTTTCTTTCTTTTTTTTTTCTTTTTTGAATTAGAAGAGTTTACATATACTAAATTGGTACATAAGTAGTAATCAAAGAAAATTTCCTCTCATCATCTACCACCCTAACACAATAAGAGGGTAGTTAATCAAAAGTAACAAAAGGTCCTGTCATCTCTCCAACATTTATAGGTAAAAATGAGTACAAAAATTTGCTTTCCTACACATAAAATTAACACAAATAAACTCAATAATGTCGCCAAAAGTGCGGTAGTCATTATTGCTTTTGTAGATAAGGTTAATGGCCTCTGCACATTTTGTGAAAAGTTTGATATTCTTATATCCTCTATTCTAGCAGTGTCGCTGCCCCTCTTAAATTCTTATCAATTCAATTAAGGTAACTGATAGATTCTCAATACATGCATTAAATCCAACAACCCAATTAGCATTGTAGTCTCTTATTAACCCTCCCACATTAACCTATGTTATTGCAAACAGATCTATCAACATCTAATTGAACTTCACTCGTTTTATATCTAACCCATTTCTTAACATTTCTCTTTGCCTTTTTTTTTTTCCTCTTAAAGTGTAAGACATTTGTAAAACATTAAGGTCTTATTTTACTCTTTGGAGTGTAGCAAAACTCGGCCCCATTCTATCCATATTATTAGTGTCAAAAAGTTTCTTACACCTACTGCACGAAATGTCTCAGCAAACATACTCAAATAGAATATGTCAAGGTACTTGTTTCGTGAAACTCTTCCCGGCTTCATGCTTGAGATTCTATAGCAATCAGCATTCTCTGCTTGGAGATTTAAAATGCGCCCAGAGTTCAAGTTTTACCAGCCAACTCCGCCAACTTTCAGTATGGTTGCAATCTCAGAGGAGATGCAGCAAATCTTGAATTACAATCAAGGGGACACGTGTCTGAAGCAAGAAATCCTCTCTTAGCTCTCAACTCCACTGTGTGCATTTGGCGCACTATTTTCTTTTATAATTATATGATTGCATCATATTTCAGTATTATAGAACTTAATTGGAATCATCAAACAGCAGTTTCAGTATTGGCTTCTCCGCGACCCCAGCTTTTATTCCCTATTAATGAAAGAAAAGCAGCTTGTATCCTTCCAGTGCCACCACAAACCTTGCAGACGATAACATTGACATACTTATTCAATACGGTGATAGTGATTTTGCTTTGTGTCCATCCGAAATCAAAATCCAATAAATAGAACATTTCATGTCTTTCTACTAAAGAAAGGTTGGTGCCTTCACATTACACATGCATACAGAGCCGAGGGTACTTCTTCCCCTTTATATGTATAACTTATAGCTTTATGTATTTAAAGTACTTATTTTTAATTAAATTGTATCATTTAAAAAATATATGTTAAAAAGAAGAAGATAAAGCTTTTATTTTTTAACAAACTTACACAGTACGTACATATTTTTTTAATTTTATTTAGAAGTTAATTTCAATATTTTTCAATAAAAAACTTGAAACTTTAAAAATTTTAAAAATTATATTTTATTCATATTAAATACATTCTTAAAAAAATTCCCAATCTTTCGATATTATCATTTGAATATGAGTCAAAATAGAAATTGTAATTGTAATAAATAATGAATGACTCGTACAAAGAATCATAAAATCCATCCATCAACTTATAAATATACAGGTAAAACAGCTATACCTTTTAAATATGCAGCTTTTAAAAAAAGTGTATTATAAATATCACTCCATCCCTAACGACCTGTTAATGTTACACCTTTTTTTTTTTTTTTTAATACAAACATCATCAACGTCCCACTCTGCAACGTTTGAATTTTGTGAATGGAGATGACTCCATTCCAAGTCACCTATTTTTCTGCTAAGTTTGTAATGACAATAATTAATAAGCCACAGAAGTGGGTTTTTTTTTTTTTTTTGTCCGTTCTTTTTTGGCCACACCCGCGAGTCTTTGGTCTTTCACACCTCCCTCTTGCAATCCATTGTTTTGTAGTTTTGTTAATTGTTAGAGATTCTGATTCTGCAGTTAGAATTTAGAAACATTGTCGGCCTTGAGGGATTGAGGACATTGGATTGATCTTATCTGTTTCTCTGGGTCTTTTTTCCTCAACCTAGTTGTGTCCATTTTCCTTTTTAATCTCGCCTCTGTTTTGGGGCGTTTTCCATGTTTGTATATCGGGGGGAAAAAAAAATTCCTCTTTTTCTGTTCATATTTGTCCACGAGTATTGAACGATAAACGAGCTCACTCGCAGAACTTTCGAGCTCCCTCTCTATTGGCGCAAAAGGGTCTTTCATGGCTTCCCGAAAAGTAAGATTTTCATTTTAATTCCCAACAAATCCCGAATCCCACCATTTTCGGGAAGGGAATTTTTGAGCTCCTTGGCTCCTAATTTCAGGCCTCCAGGTTCGAAATTTGACTTTTTACTGGTTTTAGAATGGTGTCATTTCCTCCTTCTCTGACGAGATCTCTTCCAATTCAAGGGTCAATTCTTTATCTATTTCTCTGATATTTCTTGATCCGTCGATATAGCCCCAAGGGAGAAAAGAAAAATGTTTGGAACTCAAAGCAAAATAGACCTTGCGGTCGAATACCAATCCCAAATACCAATTCTGAGGCCCAGCATCTATTCCAGAAGAGCGAATCTCACTGTAAAATTCCAAGACATTTATGGGTTCACGGTAGAAGGGAATGTAGATGATGTCAATGTGTTGAATGAGGTACGAGAGAAGGTGAGGCAACAGGGAAGGGTATGGTGGGCAATGGAAGCCAACAAAGGTGCAAATTGGTATTTGAACACTACCATAGGCGAAGGCAGTGCCCTTAAGAGTTCTTTGAAGTTCTCCACACTTGTTAATGCCATCACTCTGAAGAAGTTGATTAGGAGAGGAATCCCCCCAAGTCTACGGCCTAAGGTCTGGTTTTCATTGTCTGGGGCTGCCAAGAAAAAGTCCACCGTACCTGAGAGTTATTACGATGATCTGACCAAAGCAGTGGAGGAGAAGGTCACCGCCGCCACCAGACAGATTGATCATGTGAGTGTGTCTGCCCTGCCTTTGTTAGTGGGTTCTTATTATGATATCTGTGATAATCTACCACGCAATTATACTTTGCAAAAATGGAAGCTGGCCCAATTGAATACGACATGATGCTCTAAACTGCGTCTGACACTATATATCTTGTCATTATGCAATGACATATTTGTTATTTCTTGTATCCGTGTTAGTATTGTTGTTGTAGTTAAATAACCAATGTGTCGCGCTTGATTTTACTTTGTAAGGATGATGTTCAAGTCTGAGTAACTAGCTCATTAAAAGTTTGCTGAACTGATTTCATTGCGCAGATTTTAGATTAGATGTCTTATAAAGATTCAGATTCGTATCTTGCTGAAAGGCTTTTATGGATTCAGAGGTGTTGGTTGATTAATTGGCTTTCATGGGCGTGTCCTCTTACGGTTTTTTTCTAGCCTTGTTTTTAATGAGCAACTTTATAGTTTGTGAATGATATTGAGTAACAAAAGGTTCGTTAGGAAATTGAGCAGATGCCCTAAACTCTTAACCTTAGCGTTAGTTCATGTTCTTCAGTAAGTACAAGCAAAGTATTGAACCAACAATGTCATGCTAGTCATTATATATTTGATTCTAGAAAGAGATGATCAGATGAGAATCTGTGTGGCCATCAGTACTATTTGAAGTTTTCTGATCAAGTTCAATTTGGCATTTTTATATATTTCCTTTTAAGTGTTTCAAACGTTACTGCTAATTTAAAAAATGTGAGATGGTTTTGCAAAATTGACTCCATCAAGTTATCAAATTTGACTGCTTGCATCTTGATTGATTATTGATCTGATTATTTGGGAATGATATGCTTTAGCATCCATATTCTATGGTAAGCAAATTTCTTCCGCTTGTTAGAATCATTCTTCTTCCCATCTTGCAGGACCTGCCCCGAACCTTCCCTGGTCATCCATGGTTGGACACTATAGAAGGACATGCTGCTCTTAGGCGTGTTCTTGTTGCCTATTCCTTTCGTGATTCTGATGTTGGGTATTGTCAGGTTAGTTTGCTTGCCTAACTGCCTTGTGTTCTCTAACTATCTGTTTTTATTTCAAATCTTTGATACGAAACAAAAAATTATGCTTTTATACTTTGTTCTGATTTTATACAGGCAATAAAAATGGAGCATGACAAAGTTTCTTTTGTTTAAATTAACTATTTGGCTTTTAGATACGAATAATAATGCTTGTTTTGCTTTGATCACAGATGGAGCATGCATACCTGAAAACATTATTTCTTAGTTATTGACACACCTGCTATTCTTCCAGGGGTTAAATTACGTTGCAGCGTTATTGTTGCTTGTCATGAAGACAGAAGAGGATGCATTTTGGATGCTGGCAGTCCTATTGGAAAATGTCTTAGTTAATGACTGCTACACAAACAACTTATCAGGATGCCATGTTGAACAAAGAGTGTTTAAAGATTTACTTGCTAAAAAGTGCCCAAGGTATTTTCATTGACGACTTAACACTGTCATTCCTTGCTTCCTTGGCATCGCCTGAGAATCGGACAAAATAAAATGCAGGATAGCGGCTCATTTGGAAGCGTTGGAGTTTGATGTCTCCCTAGTAGCCACTGAGTGGTTCCTTTGCCTCTTTTCAAAGAGTTTACCTTCAGAGGTTAGAATAATACTGCAATTAATTATCACAGAAATCACAGAAAGCCTTATCTTGGTCTGTGATAAATTAGTGGGTTTTCATTTTGGTCCTCCGTAAATCATTTCTTTTAATTTAGCCCCCAATCATTGAATTGTTTGCAATGTTATCCTTTCATCCCATCTCCTTCCAAAATAATACATCAAACCTCATAGTTGGCTTGCTTCAATGGAATAGCCTGTGTAGGACAAAAAGGCAAATATTGCAACCATTTTAATTATAGAAGCGCTTAAAATAGGATTCTTTTTTTTTTTTTTTCTCTTCTCTACTTTGCCCTAATTAATATTTCTTCTGTGGGATATCTTAGACAACTTTGCGAGTGTGGGACGTCATGTTCTACGAAGGGGCAAAGGTTATGTTTAATGTGGCTCTGGCAATCTTTAAGGTATCAACAACACTGTCTGGCTTCTGTGTTCTTTTTTTTATTCTGGCACACAAACATATTGCCAAATATGCTATGAAAGAATGAGTGTTTGACATTTGAAACCTCGAATTGTAGATGAAGGAAGATGAGTTGCTTCTTACACATCACGTTGGTGAGGTGATTGATATTCTGCAGAGGACGACCCATGACCTATTTGATCCAGATGATTTACTGACAGTAAGAATTCTTTGTTCTCATTTCTCTCCCTACATCTCTAGTTTTTATTACAATCTGCCGGATATTTTTTTCTTGAGTATTTTTCGTGTGACTTAATAAAAAAAAATGAATAAATTTCTATATGTCGGTGTAGAATTTGTTAATTCTTTCAACCTCAAAAAATAATTTTAATTGAAAAACAATGATAAGATCTAAATTGATCAAATCAAGCATGAACAATCCACAGAGAAGTGTGAATGTTCACAGCCATCTTGAAAGCAAAACAAATCCCTAGTGTATGAAAATATTTGGGTTTGGACTGTAAGTTCAATCACTTCTGTAGATATATGGTTTCTGTGCTGCTGCAATCTAGATTGATTGTATGTATATATTTTTCCTTAAAAAGCTGGTTGTTTTGAAAAAAATTAAATGAAAACATGGCTATATACAGTAGGAAAACATGAGAACATTTAGATTTGAACAGATTCGAAGACTTCTATTGCAAAACAAGGGTACCAAGCAGAGTATCTCTGCTTTAAATAAAACATATTGAAATGTAATTGCAAAAACTTGTCATCATAATGTACAAGGTTCCTCCAAGGCATTTGCTCTGCTTTAACTCTAATTTTCATTATGTATTCTTGTACTTGCAGGTGGCATTTGATAAGATAGGCTCCATGACGACCAACACCATATCAAAGGAAAGGAAGAAACAAGAACCTGAAGTGATGAAGGAACTTGATGAGAGGTTGAGACGGTTAAGTTCATCCCAAGTGGAAGATAAATAGCAATTTCTTCAGTGTAAGTTTGATCTGAAATAGGAAACTGTTCTAGTGGTAGCAGTACTGTGTTGTGTGTCTTGGAGGTGAATGTTGAGTTCATCCGAGTGAAAGTTCCTGTACTGTTTGAGGGGATACTTGTAGGTGAGAGTGTAAATGATCTGTGGATGTATCATTATCTGTTAATTTATGGCGCAGATTTGATCAAGAAATTATGGGATTTCATTGATCTGCTAGTTTTTGCACTTGAAGCATGAGTGTTGACGAGGAGTTATAGAATAGAGAGAAGGTTCCTCGTGTCATGAGACTATCTCACGAGGCATTTTGCGCCTATGAACTGAAACCTACACAATATTACTATTATGCTGTGCTTGGCTCCTGGGGAATATAGAGGGAAGAAAAAATGAAGAGAAAAGAAAAGTGGAGGTATGTAATTTTCTTTCTATACTTGGTTGAGCTAGAGAAAATGGGAAAAACGAAAAATTGTTAGTTTCATATGAACAATAATAACTTTATTATTTGTAAAAAATTGTTTGTATGTAATAAATTTTAATATTTTTAACATATTATTTATATGTTTTTGATTATACATTGTTGATTAAATAAAAATATAATTGTAAATTCTTTTACTCGTTGCTAGCAAAAAAATTTATTTTGTCCAATTTTAATCTTTAAAGTTGAGGGAAAATTAGGATGAAAATAGAGGGAGGTAACAAGTAGGAAATGAAAGGGAGAAGGATAGTTTTTAAAATACTGAATTAATATCAGTTAAGTTTCCAACAATTTTTTTGTTGAAAAATAAGTTAAAAATATAGATTTAAATTATCATAAATTTAAGAGTTACAATTATAAATAAATATTTAAATATTAAATATAATTTTTAAATTATAACAGAAATTTTTATCTGTAACAATTTGAATTGATATTTATAATTTATTTTATACAAAATATTATTAAGAACATAAGTGCATAACTATTATTAATTCATTCCTTTAAAGCGTAACTGTCGTTCTCCTAAAATGAAAAGATTCATAAACAAATTTCAAAATTAAATTTTCTCTCCATATTTGGATATAAAAGTTGGAAGTAAAAATTTGAGAGTTTTATGTATTATTTTCTTCTCAATTTTCTCTCCCTCTCATTTTTCTCTCCTTAGGTATGGGTTGAGCTCACAGTTTCAACTCGCCTTACCAAACCTGCAACTAACTTACGGGTTGATTGATATTATTAGCTCTATTAAGCCAAGCAAAATTTTATTTATGAAGAGTTTCATTGTTTAAATATATTTGCTATGATTTTTAACAATAATTTATAAGGACGATAAAAGCTTTTAATATGGAGAAAATAATTTGAAATAAGTGCAATAAAAATGTGGCTAAATGTCAATTGGAATTTTTCTTTTTTCTTTTTTTTTTGCAAAAGTCTTGACTTAAACTCTGTCGCCCCAACCATGCAACTAGAAACTAGAAAAGATTTGTTTTATTTTAATTTCCTGCAGATCCAAAGTGCTAAGAATGGAATAGGATGAATAATGTCCAAATTCAAATTCTTTTTATATATAAAAAAATAAAAAAAAACTTATGTCCACTAACAAATATAGTTATTTATTAGAAAAAATATAATAAAATCTCTTCAATTATATAAATACGAATTTAATCTTTCAAAATGTCATAATTTCATTAAAATTAATAGGAACTTTTGTGTAAATAAATTTTAAAATAAAAAAAATTATTTTATTCTTATTAAAAATAATAAGTCTCAATCATAACTTGTTAAGTGTAATATATAAAACTCATAAATTTTTATCTCCAATTTTATACTATAAATCGTAAAAGTTAAATAAAAAATCACAATTTATCAAGCGTAATTTTTGTTGAAAAACTTTTCAAAATAAGAAATTTTAATTATAATTTTTTAAAAAATAAATAACTTGTTTTGTGGATCATAAAAGTTAAATAAAAAATTACAACTTATCATGTGTAATTTTTATTATTGAAAAATAAATTCTCAAAATAATAAACTTCATTCACAACTTTTATTCAAGGAATAACAACTTTATTCAAAGAATTGCAAGAATTGGACTAGAAATTAAAATTTGTCAACAAGTGAAATGGTCTTTACAATTTAAAACTTATCAACACAAAAGTTCTTAGAGATTTCAATAGAATTATGACATTTTAAGAGATTAGATTGTCATCTAATCCCTTCATTAAAAAATATAAAGCATTTTTTAAGGGATTGAATGTTACAAAATGTAAGGCATTTTTATTTTTTCAAGATATAATTATTACCTTTTTTTTAAAATTATTCATATTGAATAAGTTACTTTATAGCTATTTTAGAGTAAAATATCCTATTAAATAAGGGTAAAAATGTAAAAATAGAATTAGTTTGAAAATAAATAACTACTTTACTTGAAGTGAGATTTGAATAAAAATGCTTTATATTTTTAATAAAGAAATATATAATTTGGGGTAATTTTATTATTATTTTCCCTATTTAATTTTTAAGTGTATGTCCCTCCAATTTTATTATCTAAACCTATTTATAAGAAATAAATTATAGTTAAAAATTAACTGTAAGTTATTTCTTATAAATAGATTTGAAAATAAGACTAATAAAAAATTTATACTTCCTCCGTTTAAAAATATAAGACATTTTTTGAGGAGTTGAATGTTTAAAAAATATTTTTAAATCTTTCAAAGTGTAATTATTATTTTTTTTTAAAGCAGTCCTATTGTTAATAATTTTATATTTATTATAAAATATTTAATAAGAATAAATATAAAAAGATAGAGTTAGTTAAAAAATAAATAATTACTTTATTAACATGAAATTAATATTTTCAAATAGAAGGGAGTATATTTTAACATTTCGTTTTAAATGATTTAAATAAATAATACGAGTGTCATTTTTCTTGAACTTACTTTTTAGGTCAAGGCCCTTGAAGAACTGTGTGGGTGTATTGTGCAGTATTTATCCGCACGTCCGCATGTCGCTTGCAGAAACCTCAGCCGCTTCACCAAAGCCCAATGTCCGCCGCGAAGCGCAGCAATTCCTGGACCATTGACACTGACCTCGACGGCATCGACCTTGGCCCCTCCGATTTCGGCTCCTCCATCCCTCTCAAGAAGGTCCCCAACGGCGACGTTTTCTCGGCCTCCCGTGCCGGCGACGTTGACCGCCTCCGCTACCTCCTCGAGTCCGGAGTCAACGTCAATGCTCGGGACCAGTGGGATTCTGTCGCTCTCTACTATGCTTGCCTCGCCGGTCACCTCGATGCTGCTCGCATGTTGCTCGAGAGTGGTGCTATCTGCTCTGAGCACACATTTGACGGTGACCGTTGCCACTACGCTGCCCTTAATTTGAAGGTCAGGAAGTTGTTGAAGGCATTTGAGGCCAGACCGCCGCCTCTGGGTCCCTTGCAGGCGTCGCTGAGAGATACTTTTTTGGGTTGTGCCGCTAATTGGGCCTTCTCGGAGCTTGCTGATTCTCAATTTCAAATTTCGGGTTAGTTTGTTTTGTTTGATGCTTTTCCTATTCAAAGGGTGAATGAATTATTCGTTTCAGCGCATTTAGTTCCATATTCAAGCGTTGGATTATTTTTATAGTGTGCCATGGTATTTAAGCCACAACAAAAGTGGTCATTTTGTTTGGTCTGATTTATAATTAAGATTAGGTTTAGCACTGTCTTCAAAAGAAGGAAAGAAGTGAGCCGTGGGAAATATGTGGAAAGAGAAAAATTGAATTCAATAAAACGATCTCTCAAATTTTAAATATCAATAATGATTTTGAATATTAAACCAAAGTCTAAAATGGCCTAATGAATTTTGCTTTCACTAGAATGAATATTCGAACTTGTGTGTCAAGAAACTGTTCAAATTGTAAACTTTTTAATTCATCAAGTACTTGGGGCCAAAAATAAAAAATAAAAAATCCAATAAGTACTTAATTTTGCCAACAAATTTAGTTACTTCTATTTTTGCAATTACCATACAATTTTTCTTTTTTTTTTAATTTTCTGGTTTGATTCTCCTTGATTAGTCAACGGTTGCCCTCTGGTTTTGGATTGTGCAAGTAGCGAAAAGTTCTAACATGAAAGCTCATAAGGTGAAGTATGTGTTGGTGAAAATGCCATATATTGTCACTAACTTTTGGTTAGCAGTACAAGATGTATTTAAGTAACAACAGATCACTAAATGCAAGACGTGCGCAGTAGGTCTTGTTGAAACACTATAAAAGTTGGCTTGATCTTCTACTTGGGCAAACTATGATTTTATCCTTGCCCCCTACAATCCTAATATTCTTTCCATAAGCTTGAGCATGTGTTTGCTTGATCTCAGGAATATGGATCAAAGTTGTCTTGCCTAAGTTCCAGAAATTTTTCCACGATGGGCTTTCTAATGCACCATTGATTTCAAGAGATTTCTTATAAGCAGTTGCATACACAAAGCATAACTGCTTAGATTAAGTGAATTTCTTTGGAAGTATTTTTTCAACAATGATATTCTAAGAAGACATGATTTGAGACTCGATATTTATTTTGATTGAGTAGGTATATCATCAACTCAGGGATCCAATTGCAACCACTTTCCTCCAGATGTGGTTTTCTATGTATCAGGAAGACCTATTGAGGCTCATAGAGTCATATTGAGTGCCAGGTCACCATTTTTCAAGAAAAAGTTTGAGAGTGATTGGAAAGAGCGAAGGGAAGTCAGATTCTCTAAGGAGAAGCTGTCCTATCCTGCTCTCTATAGCCTCTTGCACTTCTTTTATTCTGACAGATTAGAGATTGCTGTAGATGACATGGAAGATCTTGTGAGAATCTGTAAAGTATGCAAATGCGAATCACTACAGAGAATTCTGGAGAAAGAACTAATTCATCAAAAATATGCAGAGTATAAAGCGCTGAGAGATTTGGACAACTCTCAAAAACGGTTCATTTTACAGGGTTTATCCCTTCCTGAAGAAGACAGGCTTCCTGCAGCATTGCATCAGATTCTTCTGATTGCTCTTTCAAATTCAACTCAAGAAAGTGATCTAAATGATGGAATTGATAAAATGGTTTACCGGGTGGGTGCATTGCAGATTGCTAATTCAATGAATGATCTTGCAGATGTTTGTATAAGAGTAGATGAAAAAATATTTCGCTGCCATCAAGTTATTTTAGCATCAAGGTCAGAATACTTCAAAGCAAGATTGTCACGTATACAGGACTTCTATGAAGGGAAAGATGAGTCATCCGTTGTTTCCCTTCCTTTTCTTGAAGAACGTGATTTGAGCAAGGAAGCATTTGAGAAAATGATTGAGTATATGTGAGTCACTTCTGTTGGCTGAGAACCTGAAATTCAAAATATTGAAGGGAACTTTTTTTTTTTTTGGGGGTATTTTAACACTTTTTTCTTTATTCTCTGACATTAATTTGTTTTCCATTGTAACGAGAGGTCTTTAAACTGATTAACATTTCTTACAATCCCGTTGCCTGACTTATTGTCAAGTGCTGCACAACCAGGATTTCCATATATTTCATAGGCATTTATTTTTTTTCTAAGGACTAGGAACTTCCACTCTATATAGCGTACTCAGTCAGAATAGATGATAAGCTGAATAAACCTTCAATCATGTTCTGTTAATCAAAGTTAGGTTACACATGACAATTTGTATAATTGGGTACTTATAATCTATCAAGATTGCGTAAAATCTATTTGAATTGGGGATTATAATTCATATGTAGTAAGTTCTTCCATGAGTGTCTATATAAATTGATTGTGGCGTGTCATTTCTCATTGGTTATCTGCTCCTGTAGTGTCTTCAGCATGTTCCTAATATGCCCAATAGAGTATGTTGACGTTTCAAGGAGAATTAGTATGTTTGTAGCTCAATTTTCAGTTGTAACTCTAATCTTCATGCATCTGATTGTCTTCTTTCTTGTTCAGGTACACTGACGGTCTGAAGGATATCAGTCCAGATCAGGTAATTCATCATAAATGCAAGTGTCTGTAGAAGTGTTTTTTCATCTTTTATCTAATGCATACTATCTCTTTTGAGTAGGCAGGGGAAATGTTTGATGCTGCTTCTAGATATTTACTGTTTCCTCTAAAGCGTGCTGTGGCTGATGCACTGCTGCCACACTTGGAAATGGTTTCACCTGCAGAACTTTGCCATTGGTTGATACTGGCAGACATGTATGGTTTATTCTTCCATTTCTAATTGTTTTTATTTTTTTGGGGGAGGGGGGTGGAAGAAATGTGTGAATAACTTGCATTTTTGTTCCTGTTTCAATGCTTAAAGTTGAAGATCCTATAGTAAAATGTTATCCTAGAGTAGGACTTGTAATGATATGTACATAACTGTATAGGTGACAAAGCATTCAAATGAAGAGGGGTGAGATCATCAATTAAATCCTGACTGTGTAGAATCTGGAAATTCAGACTTACAATGCTGAAGAGTATAAAAATATAAAAAGAAGGACGAAAGAGAATAATGGGCCCTTATTTAGGAAATTCTGAAATGGGCTGCAGGGGCTTGACTGGAATCAATTTGTAGGAGAATCGAGGGGGTGAGTTTGGGAACATCTGTTGGCTGTCGTAGATAGTGAATGGTGAATAAAAAGAGGAGAGGGAAGAGGAGGGGTGCAGGCTACTAGGTTTTCCATCAGAGAATAATAAAAAATCTCATGAGAAAGTCATGGTTGCAGTAAGCGTTGGACAAAAAGAATTCCATAAATAGAATAGACTCTTTGAAATAGTCATTAAATCATCCCTCACTTCTAATTGAACATTATTGTAGATTCTGCTTAGATGAGTTATATATGTTTGATTATTTTGCCACATGATAAATCCTTGTTATCTTAATCCAATGCTCAATGGGGAAAAAATTCATTTGGATGCAACGTTTATAGTGCTGCATATCATATTTTCAGCTGTGGCTAAAATGGCAGAGTTGGTATGCTTGTGTCCAGGTATGGTGTTTTGAAGATACGGGAATATTGTCTAGATACGATAGCTTGTAATTTTGAAACATTTGCTGAAACTAAAGAATTCCGAGCAATGCTATTGACACTGCCACCGCCATCTGGAGATTCCTCTTTACGTACCACTGCCCCAAGTGTTCCTGGGGCTGCTCTAAATACTGATCAAGGCAATCTTCTTGATGATTTACGAGAGAAATGGCTTGAAATTGAAGCTGCGGAGCTTGACGAGAGAGATGAGAGCGCATTGCAGTTTGACAAGCGGTTAGAAATGCTTATGCTTGTTGCAAAGCAAGAAAATATAGGCAATACTGAATCAGATGATATTGAGAATGTGGCATCCTCAGCTCTTTCTGAAACCTCTTCTCAAATTTCTACTGAACGAGAACTGTAGATCCTAAGAAGTTTTGGGAAAATTTCTTTTTCTTGAGATTAAAATAAAATATGTAGAGTATGTTACAGTGGTAATCTTTAGCAGTACGTTTTAGTTTGGTCGCTCAGAGTGCTTAAGTTGGGTTTTTGTGACTTTAGATGCTTGGAGCGTCCATTGATTGGAGTTCTTTTAAGTACCTGGTCATATAGGATGTTGTGAATGTTCACATATTACAAGATGATGTGAATTGGTTGAGAAAGATTTAATCTGTCACTATTTGAGAAAAACTAGAATGATGCAAAGAAGATTAGTATGGTCCTCTACAAGAAGGGCGCAGATCAAGAAAATTACAATTTGTCTGCATGTTTGTTAGACTCATTTTGTCTTGCCTTTGTTTTTTGTTTTTTCGTTTTTTTGGTTTTTTCCTTTTACTGCATGGAGGGGCACATAAATCAATACAGGTAAAGAATGTAGAATTCTTATTTAAAGATCCAAATTATTACAAGTGCATTAATAACTCATTGGATCCTTTCTTTCTTTTTTAATTATATGGACTTTGATAAACAACCTATATTGTTTTTGTTCTTGACTTGTAAACATTGTGATTTATTATAAATTTTATTTATACATTGATTTGCATTTGAAACGAAATATTAGGCAGGGAACTCTGCAGGTTATGAGTGGCTACATGTATACCTAGATAAATATGTATGCCAAAAATTAGGATTATTTTGATGCTCAAATGAAAGTATATAAACTATGAGAAAATTTAAGTAAATAAAAAAGAGAATAACATGTTCATTTAAAAAATAGTAAAAATGCTATTAAAATTTTTTTGTAACACAATAAATATTACATAATTTTTTATGGAAAAAAGGGCAACTGAGTTGTACCGGTCTTCATGCATGGAGAATCTTTACCCTTTGACGAATTATTCCAAAGAATTGAACTTAATCTATGTAAAGAATGTTCCTAAGAACCAAAACACAAAATTAAAGAAGGGAAATTTACAAGGCACCCTTCTTTCTTCTGTGACTTGCCACAGAACACAAAAATGAAGCTTTTTTTTTTTTTTTTTTTTTTGGTACTGAAAGCTAAAGGACAAAGAGATGGCACCTCCCTTGCTTCAACAATCAAGAGGCTGTCTCTTCGTTCTCTGGAATGCTCTTTTTATCTGAAGCATCAATTTCTAAATTGGAAACATCATCAGCCACATCAGTTCCACTTTCACCCTCTTCTGAATCTCTTGGATATCCATCTTGTGATTGCTGCAGGCTCCAGTACATGATGCTTGCAGTCAAAGTAAGAATCATCTTTGAGTTAACCTGTCAAGGCAGCAAACAAACAGCTTAACATATACTATTTCTCACAATCCAATGAAGCTGTTGATAAGTCATAAGATTAAATCATCAATAAGTGATCTGCTTTGTTCTTGCCTTTATGTCAGAGTAGAAAGTACAAGCCTTACTCCAGTAGTTTAGTTTTTTCCAAAGAAAAAATGAAATATTTGTTTCATAACTAAAATAATAAATAATTATGTTGTAAAGGTTTTATATATACTGTAAGGCTGCTAATAGGACTAAGTTGACATTTTCAAATTCAAAATGTCCACTTGCTTGCAACAATATCCCCAGAAGACTAGCAACACTCAAGACATAAGTGAAAGGGACATTCAACAATAAAATGCTCATTGTAACATTCAAGCAATTACTTTCATCAAAATCCGGTACAGGTGGTTAACTGTCAGTTAAACAAACTATAATGTTGAATGGCACACTTTAAATCATTAGGGGGTGAACTGATTTTGGGCTAAATATTGTATCAGGGTACACTGTAATCTGCCCTTTAAAAATAGTCAACTAAGGTTCTTATGATGTACTATCAACTAGAAATGCACTTAGGAGTTTGAAGCAGACAAAATCTAAGGGTAATACTTATGTACTTAACTTTATATACTTAATATACTTATATCCAATTAAATCATGAAAAGTGAATTTTAATGTGTTAATTAAATTAATAATAAGAATTTATTATACAATAAATAAGCATAAAGGTGCATTTTTGTCCTTGAAATATTTTTCGAAAAGCACCCAACACCTTAAACTATTGGTTGAAACATTTTACTTTTAAAGTAACTAAAATAGAGCATTTTTGCCCTTATCATTAAATTCCCTAACTGTCAACGTTGGAGTCTTAGTTAGCAATTTCTAATTGTCACTGTTGGAAATTTGATGGCAATGACAAAAATACTCCATTTAATTATTTTAAAAACAAAGTTGCTCTGACAAATAGTTTAAGATGCCGGTTGTTCCTCGAAGAATATTTCAAAGGTAAAATACACTTTTACCTTTAAATAATCTATAAAAGATCCATATATTTTGAATCAATCAGAAACAAATACGTTAACTATACAAGGCTAATTATATAATTATTTCCCAAAATCTAATTATTATTTCCACATGATGAATTATTGGAAGCTATAACCTAGGGGTCCAACTTCTGTATTTCAAAAACTTTATCTAACTTGATTCCCATGAGTTTATATTGAAGATAAACCACAACTAAATCAGTCATCATCTTGGACAGACACAAAAAACTGACTTTTTAAATAACACTATAAATTGAAAATTACGTTCAGCTTAATTTGCTTTTTGTGGGCCGACTATTCAACTTATGTTGTTGAATTTACCTCCATTATGTCCTCAGGTAACAGAAAAATGGAACACCCAAGTTTCCGAGCAACACTGATTATATATGTTGCATTTGATTTCTTGTCCTCATCTGCCATTCAAATAACAAAATAATAAGAAACTTTTCAATTCCAGCATAATGCTTGATAGAAAATTGAAGAGGCGCAAGCTCAACTCTAGCTAGCCTCAACTTCTTGTCCAAATGGCGAGATACCTGTCTCCCCCTTGGTAACAAGACTCCAGTTGACAACCCTAGGCTCCACTGCACTCAGAAGCTCAAGGAAAAAGGTCCCACTGGAAAGATTCTTATCCTGATGGAAAATAAGGAAATTAAAAAAATACATATGAAAATAAAAATCGATGTTGTATTGCCCCATTTAAGTTAGTTCTGTCGCTCAATGATCAGTCCAGCAAAAATATGCACCGATAAGCATATCATATAATTAACTACCTTGAAACTCTCCATTTAAAATGACAAAACATATCAACTTCGAGGTTAATCAGTTACCAACCTCAACAAATCTAAATTGAGTAGAAGCTTATTGAATAATCACTAATTTTTTAAAATCCATATTCCAAGGTGGGATACATAAAAGCATGGAATTATATCAGCTTCACTGTAGCATGAAACAAGGACAGGGGCTTCTAATTTTTTTTATTGGGAAAGCAAAAAGAAAAAAGAAAAAAAAAAGAAAGAAACACCTGGTGCTAGGAGATTGATAACTAGACATCACATAATTAATTACCTTGAAACTCTCCATTTCGGAAGTTCTTCCAGCATTCTTTACTTTTCTGTTTGCCCAGTTTAATATATCAGCATCTGTAATTTCTTTACCCTGTTGTTTACCCTGGGAGTGCGATCTCAAGTTTTTCAGAAGTTGAAGCATATTATACCTCATCAACTGCCACAAATATGCTGTGAGACGAAGAAAATATAGAAATGAGTTTCTCTGACAGAGTCCTCGAAATAATGGCCAAGAATTTGTATAACCCCCCTACCCCACCATAAAAAAAGAGAAAAAGTAAATACAAGTTGTAATCAAGCAATTTAAAAACAAAAATGGAAGTTAAGTAGAACTCTCTTCAGCCTAAAATAAGATAGCTTTTGTAAATTAAATCAATTGTTTGCAATAAGGAAACCAGTAATCATTAACTACAATGTTTTGTCAATAATTAACCCATTCTCATTAGTCATTTATACTAAACCTGCATCAATACACACAGTCCGCTAAAAGAAAAAGATGACAAGATAACCTAAACCAAAATCCATAAAAACATTCTCTCCCTACTGCAATACACTGCAGATTACATATTTAATGATAATATTCTTTTAGAAGATCCTAATTCAGAATATCAGGAAGCATACAAAGGTTATCTGAGAATCCAAAAAGAAAGACATGAATGATAAAGAATGGGTTGAAAGGCTGGTATTATTCAGTTTAAATTTTTAGAAGAATAAACTAAAATTCCAAGGCAGTAGAAAGGTCTGATGAGTGCAAACGTATGGACCTCTCCAATTTTTTGAAGACTAAACATAAATTTCAAAATGCATTTATGACTTCCTCAAAGTAAAGATAGATGTAGTAGCATACTTACATAAGATTTAAGGAAAAAGGATCATCAAATTAGGGTGAAATATCATTTAACTTTTCTTTTATATATATTTTCATCCCTATTTCAGTAGGGAAATTGGGACTTCCACCCTGATATGTTTTTCTATAGTTTAGTGGACGTGCTGGAACTGCGTCTATTTGGAGACAAATGGAAATTTGCCAAACCAGACATAGAGGAGTCTAAAGTGACATGAGGTAATTGTATTAAGAAGGATACAGACAGAGGGACCTAAATCTTGGAATCTAAAACCTGTGTATGTTCTCTGTTAGAATCTCCATATAAAACCTCTTTTATGACTTAAGTTCCTTTTGTGTAAACAGATCATCACGACTTTTAAATGCTATCTCTTTTAACATAAAATCTAGCCCAAATTGCCAAGTCTTCAATTTGTTTCAATTTTACAACTCAAATCTAAATTTATGTCAAAATAATTTAATCAATAATTTCACAATGCACGTGCCACATGGTGCATTCAGAGCGGAAGCTAAAATTAAGCAAATTTTGTTCGAAGTTCAAGCATTTGTAGGTCATTAAGTTTATATTTCCTATAACATCTTATGTATTCAACCTTTTCTTTTGAAATATTGTAACTTTCGTCCTGGTAAAACCAGCCCACAATATTTTATCCCAAATTCTACCTCGGACCAATCCGACGAGATTAACCAATGCCAAAATTCTAGGTCAATGAACAAGAACGAATAATCCAGTACATGCATCAAATTTAAAATAGAAACTCTTCCTCTGTGCATGGGATATTTCATTTTTTGTCAAAATATTTCAGCTTTTTAACAGACAAATGCAGGATCCAATTAATAAAAATTAAATGGATATTCAGCAGATGCCAAGACAAGGCACAGGCCATACAAATAAGTCAACTTTGCCAAACAAAACAAAGAAATAATTAGAATGCTCAAAAGGAAGTCCCAAACTAACCTATTATGAGCTTTTTGTTGCCTTGTACAATATCATTACCAGCAACATTCACTAAAGAAAAGTTTAGGTTTTTCCCAATCTCTATTACTTGGTTGCAGTTCTCAACTTTTCGAAATGGCATCTTTA